ATATACATATATTTGACAATTTAAAAAATTTAATTCTGCTCTCATGAAATTTGTTGCTTTATATTATTGAAGTGATAATAAACACATTTACTAATAATTTATTAAATATAGTTAATGCAATACACTCCAGAATACAGAATTTTCTTATTTATGTATACATTTCTTAATTAATTATATCCAATAACCGGAAATATATGTCTGCTATACTGCTTATGCTTATGAATACCTTACATTTTGAATTTAGTTTAGATGCATGCAAAAATCATTATATTGTTATCACTACAAGTAACTGTCCTTGCTGAAGAAAAGCCATTTTTGGATTTGAAGAAAGTAATTCGGGTATGAATATTTGGTCATTTTTGTTTAACAAAGTTTTTAATCAATCATTACTGAAATTTCGATTTCTTTTTTTGCTAAAAAGAAAATGAAGTAAAAATATTTTTAAAGAAACAACTTTCAACCATATTTGATATTGACATCTTTTCCTATTATATTAGTCTTTCGTTTATTCATTTCTTCAGCTAATTTCTATTAATTTGAAATGATTATTTTTTTAATTTAAATTTAACATTTCAGGGTGCTCTTGATGTTGTAGCAGCAGTACCAACTTCGCCATCAGCAAATTACGATCTCGGTGATGCATCACAAGTGACCACTTCAAGTGGTATCCAAGGAATTGATCCGATTATTCGTGAAAGACTTTCAAGACTTTTTCATATTCCACCGGATTTTGTTCATCGATTAGCAGCCCAAGCTGGCTTTATTGATTATGATCCAACAACAACTAAACCATTCCCCAATTACTGGTTAGAAAAAATCTTTTAAATTATAAATAAATTTAATTAGGGTTGATATATTTGGACACTGTTGCATGCTTATATACTTTTGCTTCTAGGTTGAAGCCCAAATCACATGTATCGCATGTAAATACAGAATACAGTACAGGATCTGCTTTTATTCAGGTGAACATTTTACGATATTTCAAGTTTTGATAAGCATATTTTAATGAAAATTTAAGAGGAAAGAAAAAGCATGCTTTTGTTAAGGTTGCTATTTTTGACAGCTTTACGATATTTTAAACTTACGTAAACATATGTTAACATAATTTAATTTGGCATTCATGATTGAAAAATGATAGTGCAGTAAGTTATCTCAAGATGATAAAACGAACAATTTTAAAATGTTGCAAATTTAATTCATGATTTTTTTTCCTCATTAAAAATAATAATGATTGTAGGAGGAACCAGCAATTGCATTCAATTCAGCTAATGATTTATCAGCAATAGTTTCACAACAAGGGCAAGTTTACTAACGATTTACTTAATTTCTTTCTCAATTGGAATGATATCGTTACATATGAAATGGTATGGTAACATTTTAATTGTTTTGTTCGAAACAGTTTACATCGCGTAAATTTTTAAACAAAATTTGTGCAAAATTAAATTGGGTATTATTTCAATGATTTTTGTTGTCAGCTCATGAGAATAGGAAATAAATGTAAGGTAAAGAAGAGATAAATTAATGAGAATTAAAAATTTTAATACACTAAAAATTTGAATCATTTTTACTATCTTTTTTTTTTGCCAATGAATTAAAATTTTCCACTAGAATTACCATAATTTTCTCTAGTTTTTATGATTTTATCGTTACTAAAAGGTATAAATTAAGAAAAAATAAAAATTATATGCATTACAGCAATTTTATAAACTCGTCACAAATCATTACAAATCATACTGTTTCCGAACAGCAAGCTGCCATCTTACAATCTGAACAACAAGCTGTTATTTTTCAACCGGTAATAAAAGATGGTCATTTGTAAGTTTTTCATATTTCTGACATTTTGAAAAAATTTTTCGAAAATTTTACGTTTTTTCATCTTAAAAAAAAATGCTATAAAAATTTGTCGTCAAATTTTTGAATTCTTTCATAATTTAGAATTTTACTATTACAGATATTATCAACCATTTGGTGTTTTACCGCAAGGTGGTCAACCAAAGATGATTATTTATGGTGGACGATTATACATTGCTACACCATTGCCAAGCGAAATACATGCGCAAGTTAGCTTCTATCATATAATGTGTTCCGTACTTATCGTAAGAATTTACAGTTAGTTTACATTATATACTGTATTATCTCAATTATCGTAAGAATTTACAGTTAGCTTACATTGATTACTGTATCATTACAGTTAGTTTACATTATCTACTATATTATCTCAATTCTCGTAAGAATTTACAGGATTAGCTTACATTAAGTACTGTATTATTCCAATCATTAAAAAAATTTTTTTTTTCTTTTATTATTTTTAGTATTTCATTTTTTTACCAAAAGTATTTCATTTTCATCGTTAAACAATTAAAATTAAGGAAGTAATATTGGGTGACGATGATATGGTTATGCAAAATTCAAGCGAAATGACTGATAAAAACAGAAAAGATGACAAAATGTTAGATGTATCAAATGAACCAAATGAAGAAACGCATTATCGTCGTATTTATGCGCAACATATGAAAGCTGCAGAAGATGCGCAAATTCAAACTGCTAAACTTCGACAAGTAATTGATTTAAAAATTCAAAAATTTTTGCTAAAATTAATTTGGATGCTAGAATTTATTTGTTTTTGAAATATATAAGTAAATATTATATCATATTGGTTGCTATATTATATTATATTCTTACTTGATACATAATTCCATATTTAAGATTAGTAAATTGCAAAATATCTGAATATATTTATAATTATATACTTTTATATTATCAGTTAATTTCTTTACCGATTTAGGTGCAAAGTTAATAATACACTGAGATGTTTGAATATATTTATCATTCTTTTTGTTCATTGTTTCATTTTGTAACTGATTCTCATTAATGATATACGATGATGACCCATTTATTTACAGGAATTTTCACTTTTCAAAATTCATTCCATACCTTTTAGGTCATTTATGAATTGAAATTATGATTTATTTTAAAAAAATGACTAAATCATTTACGCAGGTCATTGTACCAAATGCTTCATCGATCGAAATTCTTGAAATTGAAAGTAAAGCGAGGACATCTTCGCCTTATCGCAAAATGTACAATAAAGAACTTGAAAGTTATGATGCACTGCCTCAATTTGATTCACAAAATAAACCGGTTTGTGCATAGCTAAATTAAATTAATCATTCATTTTCTGGCTAAACCAAAAAATTTTGAAAAGGCGAAATTTAATCAAAGTTTAAAGAACAAAAAGAAAAAATTTCAATTTTTACATCCCTGGAACTGTCACGTGATTCATCGTTGTGTTCCTGTAAACGATAATCAACTTGATCGGATATTGCTTGTAATTCAAATGTCAAATGTTTTTTTTTTTGTTTTTGCAAAATTAAATTTTTTTACAGGAAGAAATTAATGCTAATTTGACACAAGAAGATATGATCGAAAATGATCAACATGAAGTGATCAATTTTCAAATGACAACATCAATGACACCATACAATCAGGTTGTTAAAACTGCAAATAATTTTGCTATTGAGAGAGAAATTTCAAATTCTTCATCCCTATCAAATATTATTCAATCAAGATAGATTTAATTTTTGACATTTAATTCAAATCATCACATGTAATTCAAAACTTACCTCTAATTGCTTTAGAATTTTAAACAATATGAAGAAATCGACAATATAGCAACTGATAGAGGAATAATTGAAGAGAGTGATGAGCAAACGATGACAAGTACCCAGCAAACTGATAAATTTCTAACTGAAAAACTTTCTCAGGAAAGTGTTAGCTTTCGTAGTATTTACTAATTGAGTAAATTTCATAGTTAAATTTAATTTTTTTTTTAAATTTAGCATAAATACGAATTAACAAAAAATTGCACAATTTCATGTATGATACAAAAAACTATTTCAGAATGAAAAAGATGGAAATACGGAATTTATGAATGAGGATCAAAAAATGAAACGAATTTTAGCATTGAGACGTAAAATGGCTGCTGATAGAAAAAAATTTGCAGAACGGAAACGATTACTATCATCAATGAAACGGAAAGTGAATAAGGAAGAAGATACGAAGAGAGAAGTAAATTCATACAGCATTTTTTTGAATATTTTAAAAAGAGAGAGAGGAAAAAAAATGTCATCAAGTTGAAACTCGAGAAAGAGAGAAAGAGTGAGAATGAGAGTGAGAGATTAATAATTTTGATACAAAAAATATAGGCAAATTTTTCATTTAAATAATATTAAATATCATTTGTTAAATTTTCTAATCTATACTTTAGAATGAATATTCAAAATTCCAGTTCCTAAAAATTCTCATATGAACGATGTGATAATTTTAATCCAATAATATGAAAGATGGGATATGTAATAGTATTTAAAAAAAAATAAATTTAAATTTAACAATCTAATAAACATTGTAGATATTTCGTCGTGACTGTTACAACATTCGATCATTGGCACAACAATTTGGCTTCACAGATCTTAAGCAATATGTAATATCCAATTGTGCATTTATTGAAAATTATTATCCGGAATTTAAATGTGAGGAAGCTGAAGTTTCTGTTAATAAGTGTGAACAACTATTTTGAATGTCGAATTTTGATTAATTAATTTACAAATTCATAAATATACCTTACAGTTTATTGTAATTTTTTGTTTCTTTCAAAAATTGTAAAAAAAAATTCCTATCAAGCATTATTATATGATTGATTGGCCTGGCTTTCACTGTTCTCATAAGAAATTTCTGTTCACTCCTCCCTTCTCTCTCTCTCTCTCTCTCTTTCTCTCCCTTTCTCTCCTTTTCTCATAAGATTGAAATTTTTTGAATTGAACCAAAATTTTAATTTTAAATTTTAAACTTTCAAATACAAAAACTCATTTCCTTCTTTTCCATAGCGGATAATATTGTGCAAAAATTCATGTGTGATGAAAATTTCCTAATAAAAAATAAAATTCAATAAAGTTTCCTCTGAATGTTTCATCGAACATTAAGGCAGCACATTTGTGTCAACTATAAAAATAAGTGGA